GGGTTAGTTTGATCTTTCGGACCATCTCTTTAGATTAATAACTCTCCCAGCAAATATATTTTAACCAGAATTATATGAATAGAAATACTTCACATTGACATTTGACCTTATTAGTGATAATTATTTATGCCAATTAACACTTAACCTTGAATACTTAATTTTTTTGAATTATGATGATTGTATGCCTCAGTTGAAATGTATTCCATATTCTGTTTTATGGAATTAGGTTGAATTAGTTATTTCCATAACCCAGGTGGTTTACACACACACACACACACGTACACATACACACAAGCGAACAGACAAAATAAAATTAAACCTGTAAAGACTTTTGAAAATCTGTGTGGCGAGTATTCACATTTAGAGATGGTTTATGCACGGATTATTCGCATAAATTTTATGCTGTAGTGTAATTTATATATACCAGTAAAATATGTATATATTAGAATAAAATGTAGAATCCTCTTCTGGTTGGATTATATATCCGTGTTTACCTTACACCGAATTTAATCCAAAGTGTAATGGGTGTGGTGTGTTTTTGTTTTTCACAAAATATTACAGTTTTAATAACTGTCATTACCAAAAGATAAAACTTAGTTTGCAAAGCAAAAGGAGATTGAGCAATGGAAATATTTTTACTTTTCAATTAGATCCTCATCTCTAGCTGTACTGGCAAAGTTAAACTTTAAGCACCACTAACTACCAACAATCATCAGCAAATGACTTTGAATGCACCAATCACACGAAGCAGGCATTTTTGGTTATTATTATTGTTCCCTTGGGTTCCTAGTGGAACATAGGGCTTCAACTGCACGTCTCCACTTGCCACTTCTGTCTTCTGCTGTACTTTTCACCTGCACAATCCATGTTAGTCCATACAGTTTCAACCAACTCCTCTTCACACGATCTCCTCCATGTCACCTTTGCACTGACGACCCACTTGCCGCTTTCCATTCTGTCGGGTTCCACTCGAGCACTGACCTGACGCACGCGCGATGTCACCCAACGGCCTCCTCAGCGAGTGTCCGATCCATCTCAATCCACTTTCTCCTGCATATTTGTTAGTTGGAGATTAGCTTTTGTTTTCTTTGTTCCCATAGTTCCTTGTTTCTTATTGGTGATTCTTTCCGGTCCGGCCATCTGATTGATCTTCAGTATAGAGCGAAGACAGTTGTTGGTTGATAAAGGTGTGCAACAGGCTGTTGGAAATATTCTTCGTGACCGGCAAAGTTTCTGATCCGTATAGAAGAGCTGACTGACTTGACGTTGTTTGTATTGAAAATCCGACTGGATTTTGTTGTTGATGGTGAGTTGAGTGACGAAGATTTTCAGATTGGTTTCAGGTTGATGAATGTGTTTCTCGCCTTCCCGATTCTCACTCGATTTGACATCCTCGTCCGTTCCTCCTGTAGTTGAGACAATGCTCCCTAGATAACTGAGTGAATGAAGTAACCTGTTTCGAATTCCTCCCGTTGATGGTGATTGGCTCTGGATGTTGCTGCTGTTGTTGTTGTTGGTTGGTTATTTTCATAACCTCCGTCTTGTCTATGTTAACCTGGAGTCCTGTCTCCGCTTGCTGCTTCTTCGACCAGTTTCGCTTGTAAGTCTTCAATTTTGAGTGACATCAAACATAAATCATCCACGCGCGAAATCCAGGTCTTCTAGGTTCTTCAGGTCAGTCCAGGATATCCCTGTCTTCTCGTTTCCCACTCGTTGTCTGACGCATAATCCAGTCCACCACAATTAGGAATATCATCGTGGGTGATAATAATCACCCTTGTCTGACTCCTGTGTTTACTCCAACGCCTCGCTGAGTTTTCCGTTGTGGATCCGTTGTGGACACGTGCCGTTGTCATACAGCTGTTGAATAAGGTTGATAAATATTTGAGGTTGGCCGTGGTACTCTAGTAGTTTCCAAATTACTTCGCGGTCAACGCTGTCGAAGGCCTTCTCAAAGTCTATAAAGTTGGGGTGTAGAGGTTTGATTGCCATTCCCTGCTTTTAGTTATTGAATACATATATTTATGAAAAAATAATGCATAAAAACTGTAGAAAAGTGTGACATAGGATAACTTTCTCTCACATGCGATGAAAATATCTCCCAGTTTATCTATGAATTATCAATTGAAAAGTTACACCACATCCTGTACCTATATTCATTGAAATGACTATTAATGACATCCTTTTGAGATCCATTTTAATGTCCGTAATCCTGATTTTTAGCCTTTTCCAAAAGCCTTCGATAGAACTGATGTGTGTCCATGCAATGGGATCCCCAAAATCATCAGAATGGTTCACTCTGTGTTTATGTACATCCAAGGGATGGCAGGCAGTTATTACCTTTCCATTCATCTCTGGATATTATATATATATATAGATCCTTGTTTCACTATTCGAGTAATAATGGGTATTAACGTGGTTGAATTTCTATCTGTGATTTTCTTAACGCATCCTTTTCTTAAACAGGTATCATATATTTCTAGCAAATATTCGAATCATCAGCATACCTTCCATCACGCTAACTCGTTTCACATACAAATCGCACAACGATGGACATAACCATCAATCGACCTGCTGCTAAAGCTTTTTATACTCATGACACCACTTCATGAAAAAAATCCTTTCGTTTCAAAGATGCCCTAGATCCAAGCAATACTGTGATACAGTTTTCCTCACCAAACTGCAAGCGTAACCGCGTTAGAGCAGGCATTTGACTCTATCGGTGTGGCGGTGGCACAGTGGTTAGGGCTCTCGCCGACTATGCACATGGTCCGGGGTTCGAGCCCACGCCGACGCACACCTGATATCTATGGTCGGCCTGCGAATTTTGGGCTACCAATATCCACGCTAAAAATTCCAGACTTGTACTAAAAAAATACGGTGTGGAATCAAGCTGTAATCAAATAATAAAAAATATCTAATCAAGTGGAATAGAAGCTTGAACCAACGTGAATAAATCTCATTGGATCATTCAAGGTAAGTGGTGTGACGCATTGCATTCGTAGTTACTGGTGCTTAAAGTTTAACTTGGCCACTGTACTTTAATAAACATCCTCGACAAATTCAATGATATACATTCAGTAATAAATTTCAGTATAGAAAAAGGAAAAGAAAGGAATGACAGTATCTAATTCCTAAACCTTTTTCCTCTCTAGGAAAAGCGATGGCACACTAAGCAGAAGTGTGCATAGTAAAAACCCATAACAACAGGTCAGCACACTCATTTTTTGTTCTTTGATCCATTGAAATGTAAACGTAACTTAGTAAGAAAAGTGTCGAGTTCATAGAACTATGATAATCTGTGCAAATGATTCCCTCGATGAGGAGCTTAAGATCATTAGAAAATTCAAGTACTGGTTTGTTGGAGTTTCAATTGATTGGTTATGGGATTTCATGATCAGCCGACATCTGTTAGAGAATTATTGGAAAACCAGCCACAGGGAGTACTGGACAGCTGTTCCGCCGTCCCCCCCCCTTAGTTTCGGACTCTGCAACAGTACGCACCCACCACAGGAGTTTGAACCTATGACCTACTGGTTACAAGGAGAGCGAACTCGTAGACAACTCATCATCCATTGGGACACGATGCAATGGCCAATCCATGAATTCTAACCACTGCCGATTCACGACATACTGCGACCACCAGAGACCATTAGAGAATTACTTGGTAAAAATGGTTATCCATATAAGTTCATTGAGAAAAAGATATGAATTTGACACCAAGGAAAGTCAATATTGCAAGAGGTTAAAAAAAGCCATTGTTCATAAAACCGCAGTTCCTCGGTGACAACATCAGTGAAATAGTAACATAGTGCGTAAAGAATGCAGTTAAAAGAGCTTCCAATGAAGCAGAGGTACATCGTGTCTTCATTACCATCCCTGAAGACGAACTACCCAATTCTGTTTTCTCTACTCGTACCTATCAGTTTGACTGCTGCTACGGAGCCACTAACATTTAGCGTACAACTACGCAGATTCATCGTCGTACCACCAAACATCATCCTTTTTGATTAAGCAAGAGACAAACAAGATCTATTCGAAGTTCTGTTTTAGCACACCTTTTTAGATGATAGTGAGCAGAACGTTGATGTTAATACAGCATTAAAAAAAATATTATTTATTGCATTGCCTACTAATCTTAATTTTGCTTTACGAGTTTGTCTTTCACATACACATGAAGCCATAGGAATCCTTCTGAAGAAGCTGAACCTGTCGGTGTTCAGAAGAAATTTGTACAGCCACCTTCCTTACCTTGGCCATCATTACTTGAAGGTAAAAACCAGACTATTTCGCCCCTAAACTTTTTAAAATTATAACTGTCCAAATCCTTTGATTATTTTTCTAACTACTTCATATCTTTAATTCAGTTTTAGATTTTCCTGTCGATTGATTGGACCGAAGTGTCATCCTAAGACAGATCACTTCGGTCCAATCAATCGACAGGAAAATTTAAAATTGAATTAAATAAAATGGTTGTACAATTTAAGGGAAAGACCTTCCAAATAACGGGGAACAGTCAGTCGTATTTCTGCTCCGACATGTAGTAGGATTAGGAGGGCACTACTCATACTGGAGAAGATACCAGCAAATGTCTTCTGTTTTTTTTATCATTTTATTTCTTTGCTTTCCAAGTGGAGCAGACGGGGGCTTCAAGCTTGAACTTTGAAGTTTCAATCACAGTGGGGATTGATAGTTTGACTCCCGGCTTTTCTTTGCCGCGTCTACAACCGACGTGTAAGGGTGTGTCCGCCCTTGTGTTCAAACCTCGGAGCACAATGGTGGTTGGCTAACACTCAACCAATGCATCACCAATGCACTTGTGTCTTCTGCCATAGATATATACCCTGAGACGATTCTTACTGGTCGTTCAAGATCATGTCACAAATCATTCTTTTAGATTGTGACGCCTTATATTTTTACCCTGTGTGTCATGGTAAGAAAACCATCTCATTCACTTATATTTATAATACATATTTAATTAACAGTTGAAATTAACATACCTGACGGCATTAATCCAATAACAAGTTTAGGATATGCCATATTAGAACAACCACTTTCATGACCACAGACTTTCATACAATCAGTTCCAGGAAAGCAAGCAATTTCATCTATTAATAAAAAGGAAATTAATAAATTTATTCAAAAGAATGGTTTCTGAACAAAGAATATTCTTTTCGATAAGCCTTCTTCATCAGGCTCTACAGTTATATATACGCACAATAGTGAATGAGTGAATTAGTGTAATTAACAACATTAATGTTGTCTAAATAACATCGAATCAATAATAATATCAATAGATTGCAGTTCAATAGTACAGTACACTGAATATCAGACAGACAAGTGAGGAAAATAACAATAATAATAAGGAATTTATGAATTTATAGTCTCTACTGAAGGCCGGCAAGGGCAGTAGTAATGGTTGGTTGGACTTGCTTCTTTTGCACACAAAGCACCGGTTGTTTATGGTGAATCGCGATAGCCTCTACTGTTCGGAGTGTGTGGTACTTGGATGTTTTTGGCGATTTGTATGATACCTGATAGATGATAGATAAGGATTCTTCAATATCAGCTTTGTGGCCAGTTGGCACTAGGTGTGTTATAATATCGAGTTACTGATGCTTCTCACTACATTTTTATTTAACCAGTTTGATAGATATTCCCGAGTGAGCACGAAAAATCAAGTTCCTAGAACAACGGCCAATATAACTCGCTTTACCAAAGGCGCAGTTGAACTGGTAGATACAATTACAGGTGGCCAGTCTAGTTTAGGTACTTCATCTTTCAATTGGGGAATCACAACTAGTCGTGTAGAAAATAAGATTTGTATTTTACCAGCATTAAAAGTTCTTTGAACTGATTTTCTTAACTTCTTCACAATTATTTCGACAGGTATATCACCAGTGAATCGCAGTCGTATATATAAAGGCTTCTTGTTTACGGATAGTGAATAGTCCTTTTCAACTTTCTTAGTCATGTGTTTCTTGATAAATTTGTTGGGATAGCTATTTTCATTTAAGGAGTCATGTAAAACCCTTAGTTCATCTTCGATTACCTCTTCTGAACATATAGTTCTAACCCTGTGGCTGAGGGTCTTTCCTTACTAAATTTCTTTTGTACTGGAGAGGAACGAAGCTATGCAAGTGGGTATACTGTTCTGTCTATGTGCTTTTCTTATGCAAATTTCACTTCATGCTACCATCTGGTTTTCTTGTAAAAAGAACATCTAGGCAGGCTATTCTAATTTGGTATTCCTCTTAGCAAGTGAATTTCATAGTAGAATGTACTTAATTGTACTTAATGCTGTGTTCCTATTCTAATCATTTTCACAAAGAACAAAGGTTCTATACATATACCAGCAATCAAATGACAATTTTCTGATAAGGTTGTTCAAACGTCCATTTTCTAGTTTACTTAGAAAGAAATCTGCCAATATGGGACCCAATTTTATTCAACTGGTTAATTATTATTACTGTTGTATTACTTAATTGACAAATTTGCAAAGACACTATTGGCTAACTAATGTAAGTGAGTAAGTAAGTAAGGAAGGAAGGAAGCAAGTAAGTAAGTAAGTATACAAAGCGAGGGTCTAGTGAATATGGCAGATCACTAACAGGGAATGCATCTGTGCCATATCACTAATTGTCTCCAGCCACTGATTCTTACCGTCCCGAGGACTAAACGACTCCTTCTCAGGTGGCTCTAACCAACTGTTTAAGATTTCACGAAGTGATGAAGCCAATAGCTACCTCTTTTCCACCCTGAACAATCCTATGTCAGTCGGCTAACATTGCACGTCTAAGAGGACGATTTCTAGGAATGTGTAACACATGTCCTATTTACATCTCAATCCATGCAGCTTCACAAGGTCATCGAGTGACTTTTCTTCCCCAACCTAGCACTCAGTGCCTAATCTCAATGTTACTCACTATAGTATACCACCTAACTCTAGAGACAGAAAGCAGACATCTGTGTTCAAATACAGCTAGATTTATGCCACCTTTCACTTTCAGTTGCCATGTCTCACAGCCAGCCACAAAAGAGGAAAAAGTGAACTACTGAGCAGTACATACGTCTTTTGATCGATAACCAGGAGGATGTCACATCTACGTCAGAGATGATGCACGTTGGCATATGCCACATCAGCCAACTTTTTTTTTATCTGTGCGCAAATATTTCATCATCAACTTACTAAAAAGCTGATGAGTCTTTGGCAGGACGAAATCCACTTTAATATCAACCAAGATAAATAAATGTAACAACATTATAATAATGTATAATCATTGTAGAAGTGATTATTTTCTCAGAAGAGTTTTTTTTTAAGGCAAAGCAAGAGAAGAAAAAGAAGAATAGGAATCATAGTTATGCGCATTACCTATTTCAGTTTATTGTCTATGTGCTTCTCTTTCGATAGATAAGACAACAACGAAAACAACAATAACAAAAATAAGCTTAAAAAAGTCAAATATTGATTAGACAGAAGGAAGGCAAGTTATGCTGTTATTATGATTATATTATTATTTACAGTCTATTTGTGTGTTATACTTATCATAGACTGAAGGTTACTTCACTAGAGACGAAATAATCAGAAGAAAGGCAGAAAAGAAAGTGGAAAGAAAGAGAGGGTAGAAGAGAAAGAGAGATAGACCCATACAAAATGATTTCACACTTGTGAATAGCGAAAATACATATAACTGAAGAAAATATTTCATCTGAAAACTGTCTACTAATTTTTATTTTTCATTTTTGATTACAGCTTGATTCCACACTGTATTTTTTGGTACAAGTATGGAATTTTTAGCATGTAATATCGGTAGCCCAAATTTTGTAGGCCGACCATAGATGATATCAGGTGTATGCATCGGCAGGGGATCGAACCTCGAACCATATGCATGGTCGGCGAGAGTCCTAACCATTGTGTTACCGAGGCACACTTAAGTTATAGTACCCATCTATCCAGAGTTGAAGCAGGTGAAGTGAGATTCTGCCTAATAAGTCTAGTACTTAAATCAATGAATGAATCACATTTTTGCACACTTTATACCATATCGAATACATTGGTTGAAAAGATATCATCATGAGCTGACATTGGTTAGAGAAACATTGGTAAACCAGCTGGGAGTACTGGACAGCTGTTTCCTCCTTCCTCGTTTAGGACTCTTTATCAGTACGCACCCACCCTACAAACTAACACTTGAATATAAATGAGATGTGCATTGGTGGCACAGTGGTTAGGACTCTCGCCGACCATGCATATGGTCCGAGGTTCGATCCCCTGCCGATGCACACACCTGATATCATCTATGGTCGGCCTACAAAATTTGGGCTACCGATATTACATGCTAAAAATTCCATACTTGTACCAAAAAATACAGTATATAATCAAGCTGTAATCAAAAGTAAAAAAATAAAATAAAATGATCACTGGCGACTCGCTTTATTCTGGTAGGTAGTCACTTGGGGTTCTAGTGAGATGTCGTGACCAGTAGGACGCAGCAGGTCGAGTGTGAGGACGAATACTCGCCGAAGACATTGGCTAGGGGTCGCGCTATGTCGTGAATTGGCAGAAGTTAGAATTCATGAACTGGTTGGCCATTGGACTGGAGAATTCCAGTGGCTTAGTGGTCTACGAGTTCGATAGCCTTGTAATTGGTAGGTCGTAGACTCGAACCCTGTTGTTGGGTGCGTACTGTTGAAGAGTCCTAAACTAGGGAGACGGAACAGCTGTTCAGTACTCCCTGCAGGTTTTCCAATGGTTCTCTAACCAATTTCAGCTGATGGTGAAATCCTGTAACCAATCAATCAAATCCCTACAAACCAATACTTGAATAATCGAATACAGCTGTTTAGAATTATGCAAAACCTAAACAGACTAGACCACAAGACAATATTTCTGTGTAATGCTGACACTTGGATTCTACTGCGAGTCTTCAACGCACGTAAATAATGATGACTATAGTAGTATCATTGAAAAATATTACCGAGAGTAATATTATAAACTTGTAGAACATGCCTAAATCATTTCTGCTAGTCTCAAATCTAAAAACGAATGTGTCATAGTTTATTCCATATTAGTTTGTTTATTAGATGTATCACACAGTCAGTGAGACAGTATTATTTACTGGATGACAAAGTTTCGAGCACAATTCATTATTGTTCATAATCATATCAGTTACAATCACATGACTTCGAAACTTGAGTTTTATAGTCTTCTTTGCTCTCTCCTATTTGTCGTCGTAGGGGTGGTAGGATTTTCCAGATATCTACAGGAATAAAAGTGGCATTTAAACCCACCAACTCAATTAGAAACAAACTTTGTTGGTTGAAGGATCAATCCTGTCGAGCCTTTAAAACAAAACAATTTAGTTTATCTAATACACTACCTACAATGATTGTGAGCTTAAATACATAGGTCAAACTAGTAGAACAGAGGTAGTCAGACTAGCCGAATATAAACACCTAGCAGCAAAATCTAGATTAGTTGACCCGAATAAAATAAAAATCTAGAGAATAGTTCAGCTATACCACTGAATACATGCAATTACACACAACCATACAATGGACTGGATGGGATAAGATGACAGTTTTAAAATCTAGTGCAACTGACAGGGTAGAGGGAGAGATTGATAACAAAAGCTTTGTTTATCGAATCAACTGTAAATACATGTAGTAGGAATGATTCAACGCCTGTCAACTCAGCGACCTGGAAAATTCTACTACCCCAATGGTGACAAATAAGAGAGGGCAAAGAGAACTATAAAACTCAAGTTTCGAAGTCGTGTGGTTATAACTGATGAAATGATTATGAAGGATAAATAAATTTTGTTCGAAACTTTGTCATCCAGTAAATAATACTGTTTCACTCACTGTGTGATACATCTACTACTACCACAGTGCCCAAGTTTTACACATATATTAATGTGTCATAGTTTAAATATTCGAATGATTGGAAATATGCTTTACCAGAGTAAAAGCTTGAAAATTCATTTAGCTGGTCATGGATTCGAATGATACCGCTCACTACACCAATCTCAGTCTTGGCAATTCAGGTATTGTTATTAACCTCCACACATAGTAAGTCTGGTACCAAAGTTCCTTCCGTTTTAACGACGGTTTATATTTACAAAAAGAACATTGTTGATGGTTAGCTTATCACTCAGAAACAACAACTAAACTCCCTGTGAACACCAACACTGAAACAAGGTACTTTTATGAAGGGGTAGGAGTCTGTGTATACAACATTGTGGCATTTGAGTAAATTAAATACCATCTGATATTATTTTAAAGATTATGACTAGCAGTGAAATCCAGTTTACACTTTTCGGCCTATTTTAAAGTCTGTCAAATAATTTAAAACTTGTTGGTATTAGATAATTGGGGGAAATCGGCCACAGGAAGCCTTACCAGGACGTAGGTTTCGTACTAGCCGGCACCCACCAGTAGTCAGCAAGGCGGTGTATCTGCAACCTTGAAGGAACTCATGTCCCTTTTGAAATTCGAACCCACATCACCCAATGAATCCTTCAGTCAGAGACGTTACCACTGAGCTATTCAGGCTCACCATTGACCTCCTGTAGGACTGACTGTATTGGGTATTTTTTGATTGCACACTGGTCAGTAACTAGTTTAATGTGTCTACTCCTATCTTTGGTGCAGACTGAATTCCATTAGTTAAGCTTACAATGTGTCCACCATGCCACTAGGTGGCTCTCCATTACTGATGTGCTGATGAGCGACAACTAGCCCGAAACCTAGGCCTTGGCAAAGCCTCCTGTGGCCGATTGCCTCCAACCATCTAATACCAACAATTTTACAGTGCACCATAATGGCGAGCCACCTAGTGGCATGGTGGCCATATTGCAAGCTTGACTGAAAGAATTCAGTCTGCACCGAAGATAGAACTAGACACATTACACTAGTGTCTAATCAAAAATATCAAACTTACAATAACTGGTCTCATTAAGGTGTGTCTGTTTTATTATACTGCCAACATTAGTTAGTTAGAACTGGTTTGCCTGTAGCCGTCTTTTCATACATTCATGCATGAAGGATAAGTTATAGTACCCAGGTATCCAGAGTTGAAGCAAATGAAGTGGGATTCTACCTAATAAGTCTAGTACTTAAATCAATGAATGAATCACATTTCTACACACTTTATACTATAAAAAAAGTTATTCGTTTTCACCTAGTAGTGCAAACAAATAACAGGAAGATTACAAACTTCAAGACAACAAAAAGACAATGCAGTAATCCCATCTCGCTGCATGACAAATTGTAACGAATTACCAGATACATAGACCGTACAAACAATTAGGCATGTTTCTCATCGAATTTCTGAACATCACCCTATGTGGTTAAGGAAAATGATAAACAAAACGCATTCATAGCACTATCCTATCTCATCTCGTGGATATAAAACAGAAGGCTGATGTTAACAAGGCAGCTTCCAAAGTCATCTCTGCCGCATACCAACTCATCTTAATTTCACCTTAAGAGTTCGTTTACAAAATATTGCTGAGGCTGACTGTTGGGATCCACATTTAAGAAGCCTAATTTGTGCGTCCAAAAGAAGAAACTAGTTCAGACATTGTCCTTACCCCCACACTGGCCACCTAGGTTCGAATAATCTTCAATTTGTTGTAGAAATTTCCCTAATTTTAATTGATGTTCTATTTGCTCCAGAAACAAATGGAATCTTTACAACCCATTAATATTGAGAACAGGAGACCTAGCTCCTCTATTGCGAATTAAAATATAGAGAGACAGGACATAAAATTGATGTTTACACATCTTTTAAAGCTGTCTATAAAATGTGTTTGCGGGAGGGCGTATCCTAAAGTTTGTAGAACCCCTAGGTGGCAATTAGGAAATTTAAAAGCCACCAAAACAATTCGTCATTATACTAAATCACTTTCTGTGGTAAACTTTGTTTCCATACTATAGTAGATGTACTATTACCTCTGTTATTTGGTTTAGTGATCTGCATTGTTATTTTGACCTTCAGTACGTCCTTTTAACTTGACCTAAGCAGTCTATTTTCTCACCTCTTAACTTTTGATTAATTTCATATATATATATTCCTATGGTAAGTTTGTGTGTGATGGATCAGATTGTTCGAAATGTGTTGTGAGCGCAAATACACATTACACGATTCAGACAAATTACGTCTTCTTATTGCTTTGTGTAAATTCATAAAGGGAATTATTTGTTTTAAAAAATATTATTACTATCATTATTGTTATTATTATTTAGGCATCTTTAATGAACTGTAATTCCATTGACCTTACTTAATAAATCGATATTATTTAAAAAATCACTAATATTGTTATTTACTACTTTTCTTGAATATTCTATGTATATAAACATATACATAATTGTAGAGCCAGAAGAGGAAATTATCGAAAGGGGGATATTCTTTGCTCATTTATTTTGTGTTTTATAGATGTCTGAATGCATATTTTCGCTATCTTGAAATCATGAGATAACACTAGCACATACTTATTTATTTATTTACTTTATTCCTTAACGTTCCCACCGGGACCTAGGGCTTCAAGCTACAGCTCTAAGGTCTTGGTAGCAGTGGGCATTTTTTAGATTTTTTTTTACGGGAGTTGTTAGACATCCCCTACCTTCTCTCTCTACTGGATTTACTACCGGCTTTAGCGAGGTTGAGGAGTGCGTCGGCCGAGGAACAAACCTCGGGCCACATGCGTGATTAACGAGCGTTCTACTGCTGAACCACTGAACAGGGCATACTAGACACATATTTCGGCCTAACTTGAGACTCTTCATCGGTATATATATATATATATATATATATCCATGGCTTCATCAAGGTTCATTCAACCACCTATGATGCGATCCGATGGTTCATGAATCCGCGATTTACGCTGCATAGTGCTTAAGAGTCCCAGATTAGGACGATGATGTCACCCAAAAACTTAAAAACACATGGACATATATATATATATATTCTGATTACAAGCTCCCTTTATTATACACATACACATGTGTATCTTAGTTTTTGTAAAAGATGAATTGTATGCCATATAGAAGTTTCATTGGCGTACATTTCACTACCCTACCATATGATATAATAAATCGTCAAGATTAGTATGACATGACATGTAATGAAGAATGTTAATATTAATATTTCCCTTACTTGCATATAAAACACGACTTATCATTCCAGGAATAACCATTATGAATAATGGTAGTTGTTTAATTAGACCAGTCATCAGTGTTGCACTCTGAGCATGTGATAGACTTTTTGCTGCTAATGTCCGCTGGACCATCATCTGTAAAACAGGTAAAACAAAAGAGGGAGGAATTAAGTCTTACTCGACTGAATGATAGCTGCTATATTGACATGGTGGCTTGGTTCGTATCTTGTAATGATCCAACAGCTAGCACATTGGCTAAAACGAATACACTCCTGCAAGTCTTACGATTGCCAGAAAAGTCATTTTGACAGTTATTATGTAACGACAGAAGACAAGGGCCAGGAAACAGATCCTTCATTGAGAAAAAAGCAACAGATATTTATAGATTTTATGTACAAGATTATTAACATTATTGTTAGCAGAGAAACAGCGTCTTCTGATTGGTCATGACCGTTTCTTAGAAAGTCAGGCTATATATCTGCAAATCGTATCCGCCCACGCAAAGTCTGCTGTGATTGGTTGTTGAGTTCCTCAAGGTTAGGCTTTGTTCTTGTATTTTCTCATGACCACTATTTGGAACGTAAACACTGACGTGTAGTGTTGTCTACAGTCTTGTCTTGCAGATATCCGTCACCACAGTACTACAACTATTAGCCATATAAGAGAGGGACATCTGAAATCCCACATAGGATTCTTAATAAGTGATTAAAAATGCCCATTAAAGTTTTCAAAAGAATGAATACTGATCAAAGAGTACTCTTTTCGATAACCCCTTCTTCATCAAGCTCTATAGTTATATATACATTATAGTGAGTCGATGAATGAATGGATTAGTGTTATGAACAATATTCATGCTGTTTAAATAACATCTAATCAATAATATCAAGTGATTACAGTTCAATAGCGTCAACATGTCAATAAAGTGAATGTCAGACAGAAAAATTAGGAAAGATAATATTACAAATTCATGAATTTATAGTCTCTACTGAAGGCCGGACAGGACAGTAGTAGTTGTGGCTGAACTTGCTTCTTTTGCACACAGAGCACTGGTTGTCTGAGGTGAATTGAAATAGCCTCTGCTGTTTGGAGCATGCGGTGCTTCAATGATGATTTTGGCAATTTATTAGGCACTCGGTATATTATAGAGAAGGATTCTTCGCCGCTGGCTGGCTTTGTGACCGCTTTGCACCAGATAGTCCAATATCGAACTGTTAATGTTTTTCACTACACCTTCACTTAGCCAAACTGGGAAATGTTCCCGAGAGAGCACGAAAAATCAAGATCCTAGAGCAAAGACCAATATAACTCGCTGCATCACAAGCGCAGTTGAGTTGGTAGATACAATTTGAAGTGGCTAGTCTAGTCTAGGTACTTCATCTTTCAGTCGAGGTAGCACCATTGGTCGTGTAGAGAATAATACGCTTGGTTCGCCAGCATTAAAAGTTCTTTGAACGGATTTTCTTAATTTCCTCGTAATTATCTCACTTGGTATATCGCCCTTGAATTGTTGTTCATAGCACTAATTCATTCATTCACTATGATGTATAAATAACAGTAGAGCCTGATGATGAAGTTATCGAAATGAGTATTCCTTGTTCAGTATCTAATTTTTTGAAGATTCTTAATAAGGCTGAAATTGGGACAGCATCTAAACCGAGTCGCTCATTCACAGACAAACTTTGATGACTTAAGTCTCCAGTTGATCCAATCAGATGAAAAAATTTAATTGACAAAATACTACGAAAACAAACAAAACATTTGAGCAAAGAATATCCTTTTCGAGAATTTCCTCTTCTCGCCCTACAATTATCTATATGTTTGTATACATAAAATATTCTAGAGTAGAAAACCTGCATCAACTGACTGCCAAAGTACTAATTTTTTTTTAGCTTTGCGCCTTTGAAATACAAACGCTTGCCGACAGGTATCACCACAGTAGTGTCTGGTTGGACTTGTTTATTCTGTACACAGAGAACCATTTTGTTTCAGCGGCGAGTCGCGATAGCCTGCGTTGTTCAAAGTATGCAGTACTTGGATGTTTTTTGGCATTTCACTTGGTATCCAATAGATGATAGAGAAGGACTCTCCAATATTAGCTTTTTGACCAGTTTGGCTCAGGTGTTTTTCTTTTTAATATCGAACTGTTGATGGTCTTTATTTACTACAACTTTAGTTAGCCATACTAGGAGAGGTTTCAGAGTGAGCATGAAAAATCACGTTCCTAGAGCAATGGCCAAAAAGGTGTGGTAAAAACAATCAATAGTTCGATATTTAAAAAAACACCTGGGCCAAACCAGCCACAAAGTTAATATTTAAGAGTCCTTCTCCATCATCTATTGGGTACCAAATGAAATGCCAAAAGGACATCCAAGTACAGCATACTGAAAACAGCAGAGGCTATCGTGATTCGCTTGAAACAGCTAGTGCTCTGTGTACAGAATAAACAAGTCTAGCAGCCACTACTACTGTCCTGGCCGGTCTTCTGTGGAGACTATAAATTCATAAATTCTGTATTACTATTATCTTTTCTAATTTGTCTGTCCGATATTCAGTGTATTGTTATGTTGATGCTATCGAACTGTAATCCATTGATATTATTACTATTGATTCGACGTTATTTAAACAACACTAATTCATTCATTCACTATTATGTATATATAATTGTAGGACCTAATGAAGAGCAGGTTATCGAAAGGAATATTTTTTACTCAGTAACCATTCTTCTGAAAACTTTCAATGGTCTTTTTTTATTAATTAAAACATATACTGGCGGCCTGCTTAAATCTTGGGCTACCAAAATTTCCATCCTACATATTGCATCTATTTCCTCGGATTTATTTTGTTTTAATTATTCAATTATGTATCCAAGTCGCATTACTTACTCTCGCGATTATTTAAAATGTTTTCAACCTGTTGATTTACGAGTATATAATAACGTTAAGAAAAAGCATCATGGAGGTTGGCAGAGATCATTAAAGTGTACTCCAATGCATCAGATGACTGTTCCTGTGATTATGAGCACAAATTGCAGGTCATTATCGAACAAGATTAACTACTTGCATTCTCTATTATACTCAAATGTATATTGTAATACTGGTGTAATCACTCTTCAAGAGACTTGGCTCCATGATTCATATGACGATAATTTAGTCTCCTTAAGTGGGTTCACAATCTACAGACAAGACCGATGCAGCTCAAAGAAGAAGAGAGGTGGTGGTGTTGCCACTTTTATTAATTCTCAGTGGTCTACTGCCAACAACGTCTGCTTCAAATTCTCAAATGACAATATTGACTGTATAACTGTAAAATGTCGACCTAAACACTTACCTAAGTATAGCTTCATTTTTGTCACAAATATCTATATCACACCTTGTTGCAGTCCCTCAGAACTATCTATCTTCGCTGATGAATTCACTATTTTTGCTGCTGCTTCGTTTGGTAACTCCTTATCTATAGTGACTGGCGACTTCAACTCCAGCGACTGCAGTTTTATTACATTGCTGGGCCATGAAAATGTTGTTAATTTCCCAACTCGACAAAATACTTCACTTGATTTAGTATTTATAAATGATTCTGGAATATACGAAGCTCGTAAAAGAGCCCCGCTCTTCAATTCTGATCATTGTATTGTACGAGTCTTACCCAAAATTTACGGAAAGTTACACAGTAAAGCCCTCTCAAACTTGTCTAAGAAAGTTGTTCACAGATGCTACTCAAATGAGAACGTACATCATCTTAGAAACATGCTCAGTGACACAAGATGGGATTTGTTTAATGATGATTCACTTGATGACAATATCTCTAATATTACATCCTATCTGAAATTCTGTTTTGAAATCTGTTGTCCAAAAGAAACACTATTCGTCAAATTTGACCGTTTCTCCTCGCCTCAACTTAAAAAGCTTCGTAGAGAGAAGGAAAAACTGTATAAGATGAAAGATAAAAGTGGTGTAAAAAGAACTAACTTCTTAATTAAGTCTGAAATGCAGAGGTTGAATGTAATATATAACCAGAAATTCATATCCTGCAAAAATCCTTCTAATATGTGGAAACTATTTAAGGAAATCACTGGTGGTAAGCAGATAAACAATATTCCATATTCTTTTGATGTATGTACTCTTAACAAATCTTTTATTTACTCTCCCTCAAATGCCATGCTTCCCAGCATCACTTGTGTTAATAATAGCCCCTTTCCAGGTTTTAACACAAATGATGTTCAAAAGTGCCTCAAGTCTCTAAACCCTTCCCAGAGCTTAGGTCCCGATTATGTACCTAGTATTATTTTTAAAAAATGTTCTGATATTCTGTGTCACCCTCTTACTGATCTATTTAACAAATCTTTTTCCGATAATATTGTGCCTGCCGTTTGGAAGGACATTAAAGTTGTACCCATACCTAAATCATCCACTGGAGCATGTGTCAAATTTAGACCCATTGCTATTACCTCTCCTTTTTTGAAAACTATGGAGAAATTACTTTTACTTAGTCTTGTACCTTCGCTTAAATCCTTTAATGACCCTAAACAATTTGCCTATAAGCACAGTAGAAGCACTTTAGATGCAGCTGCCGTCTTATATCATAACATTGCTTCCAGTCTAGACAAGGGGGCTAAATTTGTTCGTGTTGCCTTCCTAGACTATACATCTGCTTTCGACTCGGTCCCTAGGGACATCTTATTAAATAAACTTGCTGCTAGTCAAACAGAATGTTGGGCTGTTAACTGGTTACATTCCTATTTCTCAGATAGAAAGCAGTACACCGTATATAAAGGGAAGTCTTCCACTTCATTGCCTACTGAAGCTGGTGTCCCTCAAGGTGCTGTTCTTTCTCCTTTTCTTTTTTCTTTCTTCTTGCATGACTTGCCTCACTCTGATGAAATAAACTTTGTGAAGTACGCTGATGATTTAACGGTTTCAATGGCTGTTAACTCCCAGCTAGATTGTACTAAAATAAATAGCTTTCTATCGGAAGTCAGCAAATGGTCTGAGTCTAACGGTCTTAAACTGAATCCTTCTAAGTGTCAAACTGTTGATTTCAGCTTAAGATGTAAACGACAGTTAAAAGAAGTCATCGATTCTCATGACAGTTGTAAAATTGACGACAATGATATAGGAATCAAATCAGAAATTAAGTATCTTGGACTCATTCTCTCTTCTGATCTCTCCTGGTCTTCCCATGTCTTAGCAATCTCCAGTAAAATATTCCGCCTGACATTTTACATTAAGAAGTTAAGACACTCGGGTATAACTCAACCCCTCCTCTTACAGTTCATAAACTCTTGCATCCTACCTATTCTTCTTTATTGTTCACTCACCCTTATTCTTTCCTGGTTTGCTTAAAAAGACTATGTCACAATTCGTAGAATACTGAAGACTGTCAGTAGGGTGAGTGGTGTCCCAGTGGACCACATAGTTAACGTCGTTGTCGATAGGCACTTGACTTCGTGCAATAAATTTGCTAAAGGGATTTTGTCTGACTTGGAGCATCCGCTTTACCCTCAGCTTTCACCTTGCATCTCCTCAGGTAGAACAAGGAGTAACTTCAGAAAACTGTATGCTCGCACGTCTAAGTATAAGAATTCTATGATACCATACTTGGCACGTATTTTATGTGATGAAAATAGTGTCAGGCAAGAATTAACTAACCTTTTTTCATCTAGTAAATAAACAATTTCCTCCATCCATCCTTATATACCTTCAAGTTTTACTTTTATTACTTCTATTATATTTATGGTCCTGTTACTTCTCTGTTTTACTCTCATAATTGCAAACACCAACTTATCTCCATGACGGCTGTAATCTTTGTTTTTCCCTTCACCATATCATGTAAAGAGAACATTATATTCAATATTTTTAAACATGTTAGGATTTCTATACCACATTGCCAATACTGTGTGACACAAGCCAACGGCAATTTTCACTTGTATTCTTATTATTATTACCCTAGCTGTTATCATTATTATTGCTATTTCCATTTTATATGCTGCATGTTTTTGACACTACCTCTATTGTAAATGTGGAAAATTTTCTGTGTGATTAATTTTATTTATAATTTGAGGAAATTAGATGCAATATTGTGATTAATGCTGAAAATTCCATTCTGTATCACAAGTACTGTTTTTGGAATAAAGTAAATCATTATTATTATTATATCATTCGCAAAAATGCATATTATTTGGAGTTCTGTTTATCGCAACTTCCAACTGATTGGTAGTAGCTTGGAGTGTATTCCAGTAAATACATTTCGTCCAGTTTTTGGTTATAACCTCACTGAAGACACCATGACTTGCTGAGATACACATACATCCAACTGACAGGTGCCTAACAGGGTGAAACGCACTTCTCGTTGATCACTATTAGCCACTGTCAACATGTTAACTGCAAGGCTTCTTTGAAGTGCCAGTAGTGCCAGTAGCCGATATATCATCCGATGTCCAGTATTTCTGTCAACCGGGAGTACAGAATAATAATTTCAACACATTATAAGTTCTCAGAGAAAACAAAAAGTCCTGAAAAATGATGAAATTGCTTCTCACGACAAAATATCAAACGAATAAATCGCCTTTTTAGCGAATACATAAACCTTTCAACATTATACGTGAACACTAGAACACTAGTCTGAGTATAAAAAATGACAGTATAACTATCTACTCCACCTGAAACTTCGCTCATCCAAAGCGCATCATGTCAGTCTCTGCTACTTTTAAAAGGACAAAAGGAACACAAAAGTAGAATACTACTACAGTGGTGTACTCATGCATATAAGCCATTTTTGTGAAAGAGTTTTACTCGTCTCACAAAAACATTCTCCAACTATTGATTTTTCAACATCCAACATTTGAGAGTATATATCGCTCTCAATACTACTTTGATAAACAGTCAAGCAGAATTTATGGATTAGCGCCATGTTCCCTTGTTTCAAAAGTCTGTCTAGCCAAGGGGGTTCATTTGCATGAAACAAAAATGAATTTTCAACTTAGAATTCGATCAAAAATTCAGCAGTTCAAGTGTTGCTGTTCCACTGTTGTACAAATTCGCCTTGTGGCCATCACATCTAGTGTAAACGAATTTCATTAGAATGGTAACTGCACTTGGTCTAACCACTACTTAAAGAAAGATTTTTCTAATAAGCGAGAACCTTCAGGATCATTTATTGCTTCAAGGGTTTGTCGTTAAGCTATTATGATGTCATATACTCATTGTGACTAGGTAAACGTAAATCGAGATGTTAAGTGCCAGTGGGTCGAAACAGTACCCAGTGGTGAAGATTCATTCACTCTTTGTTCTCCATGAAATTATTCTACCTTCTATACATTTCCGTTTATTCCAGTCTTTTTACATGTTCTTCTCTGTCTTTGTGTAAGCTTTATGTAGTGTGGCAACCTGAACTGCTGTATTTTTATGCATAGTCTCATATGTTGCAAATTCAGTTCAGTTATGAAAGACTCTTTTACCTATAAGTCGATTATTCAGAAATAAGTAAGAAAACTGGTCGGCACAATAGACTTAGCTGTGTATCGATCCAATCACAACACTACCTAACATTATTGAATAGAGCTTGAAATGATAGTCAGTTGTCTACTTCAACTTCATCGATTTCGAAAAGGCCTTTGACAGCATCGATCGAAAGGTGATTTGGAAACGACTTCTCTACTACGGGATACCGCCAACAATTGTACACTTCATCCAACAGTTGTACGATAATGCTGCATGCAAAGTAATCGACAACGGACAACTCACGGAATCTTTCGAAGTGAAGATAGGAGTAAGACAAGGCTGGCTGGCTGCCTACTGTCTCCAATGATTTTCCTGATTGAGGGCGGTAGACTGGATAATGCGATAGACGGCGTGCCGGGCAACGAGGAGACAGGCATAAAATGCACCTATACAAAAAAAACTTGAAGGATCTGGATTTCGCCGATAACACGCATATGTCTGATTTCCCACAAACTGGAGGATATGCAAATGAAAACCAACAAGTGGGCAGGAGAAGCATTAAAGATAGGAAGGTGAACACAGAGAAAATAGAGGTAGGTGATGAAGATTCCTGGCCAACAGCAACAGCAACAGCAACAACAACAATAGACAACAATCAGTGTAAATTGGAGGAATCTGAAAGAAGTAACCTCCTTCAACCTACATACCTACTGATGTGGGAAGCATCGTTTCAACTACAGGCGGAGAGAAATGATGGGAATATCAAAGTGGGAATCGGGAAATCAAGGCAAGCTTTCATTACTCTTAAGTCTGTGTGGAAGTCAACAGCACTCAGCATGAAAAATAAGGTCCGTATTTTCAACTTCAAATGGTGAAGTCAAAGCTACTTACTCTATGGATCAAAGAATTGGCGCTGCGCCGCGTCACGAAGGGCACTTCGAACAAACTACAGACCTTTATCAACAGCCGTCTTCGCTCAATACTACTAAGGATCAGATGGCCGGCCGGAAAACATCAGCAACAAAGATCTCTGGTAGCAAACCAACTCAGCAGGAACCGATTGTGCAACAAATATGCAGGACGAAATGGAGTTGGATTGGCTATACCAAATACTACTACTACTACTGCTACTTTGTTATCATCTATTTCTTGATACTCACTTGTGTTATACAGCTAGAAAGGATCACCACTAACATCGATGAAGTGATACTTTTCTCTTGTAAACGTCCACTGAATGTAACACTTAACCTACTGTTGCAATTTTTGCATTTCCCAGTGCATTTCAAAACCATTTAAAATCAGTCTAAAAACATAAGAACTACAAAATACCCATTACTGGATCTAGACGAAGCGTGAGGAATCCCCATGGTTTACAAAATCATTGATGAATAAGAAATACAACAAGGCCGTCTCGTCCTAGTTTTGGGACTCTTCATCAGCAAACTTATAACTCAATCAGACATCGAACTCAGGGATTTGAGATCATGAAGGCAGTCCGTTTATCATACAACTTTGGAGTCGAAGTCTGACGATTACTTCGCACTGCTCCAGTCTCAAAGTAGGGCGAAACACCTGTTCAGAACCAGCTGGAAGTGGATCGTGGAGACATCTTCACTGAGGGTAATCATAACCCCCTTGCAGAATCTGAAATCTAAATTTTTACCACCCAACAGATAGTTTTCAAAAAAAGTGATACATTATCCAGAAAGATGCATGTTATAAAATCTGCTTTAAATACCTGATCAGCACACCAATACCAAATAGAAGCTGGTGTTTGACCAAGTAAGAAACCAAGCCATGGCATATCACGATCATCAATTTCTCTGAGCAATTTAAATGCTTTAGGTGATGGAAGACTGCATCTTAATCCAGAAGGAACTCTTGGATCATTAGATAACTGAAGCAATGATGTAGAATTTGTTGTATTTAACGCCATTCCTAGACTAGTTATCAGCTGTAAGCCTTCTTTAGACGTGGCATCAACCTCAGCTATAGCTCCACCATAGGCAGCAAGCAGTCCTGGAAATCCACCAACTTTAATAAAACCTAAAAACAAGATAGGTACAACCAGAGATTACAAGAATACCAAAGAAAAAACAAAATGAAAATATTTCTTCCAATCTAAAAAAACAAGCAACCAAATTAGAGTTTAACTGGTGGATGGTGACTAGCAGTGGAATCCAGGATAAAGCGCACTTCGTCCTGCTTGGGACTCGTCAGCTGGCTGTGCCTCTACTTTCCAGTGACTGATGATGTTCCCATCGAGGCTCGAACCCAGTGCCCATAGTTTCAAACACCAGCCAAAGCGTTATCCACTAGACTTCTTGGGCGACGAGAGCCACTGCCCCTTGTGCAACGAGTCATGTTAATTATTTAATTGAATTTTAGACTTTCGCGTTGATTGATTGGACCGAAGTGTTTGGTGTCAGGTTGACATGTCTGTTGGCTTCTTGTGTAGATGCTTCGAAGATGTTTGGTCATTTGGTTACAATTTAATCGGTGGATGGTGACTAGCAGTGGAATCCAAGATAAAGCGCATTTCGTCCTATTTGGGACTCGTCAGCTAATTGGATGTGCCTGCATTCCCCAGTGAGTGACGATTTTTCTGGGAATGCAGGCACATCCATTGACGAGTCCAAAATAGGACGAAATGCGCTTTATCTTGGATTCCACTACTAGTCACCATCCACCAATTAAATTCGAATTACATGGCCAGACATCGTCATAGCATCTGTACAAGAAACCAACAGACATGTCAACCTGAGACCGAGCACTTCAGTCGAAGTCAGTTGATGGGAAAATCTAAAATTCAATTAAATAAGCAACCAAATGTTTGGCAGTTTTTTTTGTAAATTTATACTAGAAGATGTGAAGGTTATTACGATTAATACAAACTTCCTGGAAGAGAGTTTCTCATTTTTAACCAATTTTTTTTAATTACAGCTTGATTCCACACCGTATTTTTTGGTACAGGTATGGAATTTTCAGCATGTGATATCAGTAGCCCAAATTTTGCAGGCCGACCATAGATATCAGATGTGCGTCGGCAGGGGATCAAACCTCGGACCATGTGCATGGTCGGCGAGAGTCGTAACCACTGCGCCACCGACGCACTTAGAATACCAGGAGAAGTTAATCAATGCTAAAAATATGAGTTCCTTATATCATACAAAGTATTATACAAAGTGCATTTAATGTTTCAAAAAAACAATAATAGTCACATCAATTCATGTTAACAACCATGGTTACCTATTCAACTTGGGGAATTTGAAAATAATAGACCAATGAAACACAGGGAATAAGGAATAATTCCTAGACGTCTGGGTATCTATCAGACCAACTCGTATTGATCAAGAATGTAGATACTGATCAAATTTATCGATCAGTCAACAATAAATTACACAATTCTTAGATTGCTGAGACGATCAATGTTGATCAGGTTTAATATTGTCCCAGAAAATCTCCATGGTTACCAAGAGAGACGAAATTCTCATCCATGAATAGTTCCGACAGCTTAATAACACATTGACTTCACTTAAATTTAACTATCTGGGACGGATTCCGTGTATGCCGAGCTGTGAGTCATAGTTCATTTTGTGAGGGTCGATAATACTGTAACGACAGAAGACAAGGGCCAGGAAACAGATTGTTTATTGAGAAAATCAACACATATTTATAGATTTTCACATTATATTATTATTAGCGTTATTGTTAGGAGAGAGGTAACGTCTTCTAATTGGTTGTTTTCCTGCTGAAGGTTATTTTGTACTGCTTGTGACCGTTTCTTACAAAGTCAGGCTGTATATCTGCGAATCGTATCCGCCCACGCTAGGTCTGCCGTGATTGGTTGTTGAGTTCCTCAAGGTTACGCTTCGTTCTTGTTTTTTCTCATAACCAAAATTTAGGACGTAAACATCGACGTAAATTGGTGTCTACTAATTTTGGCTAGCAGACAGCTCTTACCACAATACTACCCGGCTGTCCATTCTGAAGTAGGCTGAGAGGAGTTTGAACATGGAATTTAGTCGCTGAAATCCTAGAGACTAAGCAAATGACTCACGCCTCTGCACTCAAGATGGTACCTAGAAGGACAATAAAAGTGGCGCGGTTGTGACACTCAACTCAAGGAAACACAACGATTCCAAATGATATTCCCTGTACTGAAGTTCCTTGGTGTAACTCATTAACCTACCAGTTAGTAAAAAAATATTGTTTATTCTTAACTAACACACACACACACACACAGATACTATTACAATTCAATTTAGATAAGACATTGAGACTGGAAACTCCATTTCTGAGTACATCTCGGTTTTTACACAAAATAATTATAATATAACGAAAATATTCATTCAGACATGTGTAAAACACAAAATAATTTAGCAAAGAATATCCCCTTTCGATAATTTTCTCTTCTGGCTCTACAATTATATATATACATATGTTTATATACATAGAATATTCTAGAATAGTAGTCAATAATAATATTAGTGCTTTTTAAATAATATCGATTTGTAAAGTGAGATCACAATGGAATAACAGTTCATTAAAGATGCTTAAATTTTAATAATAATAAAAATAATAAAATTATAATAGCAAATAGAATACCAAATAAAATTAAGGAAATTTCTAAAAAACGTTGTTGATCATTCAAACTTAAATGGCCATTGAGGTAAGGACAGTGTTTGAACTAGCTTCTTTTGGACGCATAAATTAGGCTTCTTAATATGGATCCCAACAGGCAGCGTCAGCAATATTAATTAGTAATCGAACTCTTAAGGCAAAGTCAAGATTTAATTGAATTTTAGATTTTCCCGTCAACTGATTGAACCGAAGTGCTCAGTGTTCAGGTTAACATGTCTGTTGGCTTCTTGTGCACATGCTTCAACGATGTCTAGGCATTTAATTAGTATTTAATTGGTGAATGGTAATTCGCAGTGGAATCCAGGATAAAGTGCATTTCGTCCTATTTAGGACTCGTCAGCTACCTGGATGTACCTCCATCATCACTCACTGAGAAATGCAGGTACACCCAGTTAGCTGACGAGTCCCAGATGGGACGAAAGGCTCTTTATCTTGGATTCCATTGCTAGCCGCCATCCTCCAATTGAAGTTAAGATTTGTTGGTGTGCGTGCGGTAAATGACTCTGAAAGCTGCCTGGTTACAAAATAATTAGTAATAATAGTAATAACTGTGTTGTAAAGTAGAGTTATTTGGTAAAGAGCAATTTACTTGTCACATGCTAAACATTTCTCATCTAATATTTGTGGCAGTTATATATTCTGTCTAGGTCAAGGGTTGAGTGCATAAGCAAAATAAAAAAATAAACTGTCATTTACTCAACTGTTAGAAAAAAAACACATTCAAGGTCGTCGTCTTTATTGTAAGCAAAAATGCCAAACATTTTTTCTATATTTTTTATTGATATTGATTTACTACTGTACAATAAAATCAATACAGACAACAACAAAAAGTGAATGACAAAGAAAACATCATTTTCAAGGGGAACAATGAATTTGTATTTTTCCTTAGCTCTCAGCAACCTTACCAACCATTTCCATCTTCATGGAGTTGACTGACAGTCAGCCACACGTATTTTCTAATGGCTACTGGGATTCCAACTTTATAGACAAATTTACGTGTATCTGCAGGAGCAGTTACATTGGAATAACAGAAAAAAGAAGGGCATATCTACGATTTCCTGAACATGTACCAAAAAGCGTATGTCTAAAGGGAACATATGTGCTTTAACAACAGTGCCATCCATCGCCAGGCATCTCCTCGACACGGGTCATGAGATGGACGTCGAAAAGTCGTTCGAAATTATCAATAGGCAAAAAAGATTTCAATTCTCCTCAAGTTTGCTGAAGCCATTTCCATTTGTTGAAGCGCTTGAAACCTGATTTATGCGTCCACCAGCCAAGCCTAGTTAACTGGATATTTTTCATCTCTCTTTCATCTGAATGCGAAAGGCTGAAAAGTTTCCATTGTGCATGATTATTATTGTTGTTCGGAATACTGTTTAAGATTACTGTATGCATATATTGATCGATTGATTTTTGTTTAAAATAAACCCTGTACAAATATGTTAAAATTGTTTTTGTAGATATATTTAATAATGAATATCTTTGGCCTGTAAGCAGCTGACGAGAAGGCAACGAAATAAAAGATGGTACCACTTTATTCTGCAGAAACTGTAGCTGTTGTTTTGTTCAAATATTACTATTTAGTTGGCCAAACCTAGGTAGCTGAAGTAGGGTTCTGAAATAATAGAGAAGATTTTTTGGCTCAGGTGAATGATTTTCAATTATTAGTGTTCTCTGAGCTGGGTGGTTTAATTCCGGAGCTGTCGTCGTCCACCCCGCTTGACAACATCCCCATTCAACGGAATTTTTAGCATAAAGTGAACTGATTTAAATTCTCCATGAATGAATGATAGAATTGAGTCTCCCGGTAACCATATGCATTACATCTACATTGATCATTTTTTATTGACTTGGATTTTGAACTTTCTCCTCATGTGATGATTTACTTTTTATTAGTTGGTAGATTTGGTTTATGATATTAGATGGTTGGAGGCAATCGGCCACAGGAAGCCTTTCCAGGACCTAGGTTTCGTGCTAGTTGGCACTCACCAGTCAGCAAGGCGGTGTATCTGCAACCCTGAAGGAACTCATGTCCCTTCTGAGATTCGAACCCGCGTCACCCAGTGCTGCAGTCAGAGAGTCAGTGCTGCCTCCAACCATCTAATATCCTCAAATCAGTTTGCACCGTGATGGTGAGCTACCTAGAATGGTGGCCAGATTACAAACCTGACTGATAGAATTCAGTTTGCACCAAAGAAAGGACTAGATATATCACACTAGTTACTAGTGTCCAATCTAGATTTGGTCTATATTAGTTAGTGTGTTTTGATAATCGCTGGCTGGCTGTCTGATTCGCTTGAGTACCAGACTTGGCTTCTAGGAATTCTCTGGCAGTAATTTTGGTGTTTCCTCTGTTTATAATTTCCACATTATCCTAAATCAAACTGATAGTTAAGTCC